CGTATTTGCATATAGCACATGCACAGTTAAAAGCACCTTCCTGTGTCCTTTAAATCGTCTCTGGATGACTCGAGACACCTAATAGGGTCAAGGCAGTGTTCACGGTGCTTGACTGTGTTGCCTGGGGAACACCTGGGAACACTGACCAGCCGAGGACCCGGTACCCGAGAGTGAGGGTGCCCCGTCTGTTGTCTGTCTTCAACGGCTCATAATTGTCCTGGGCAGCCTGGTGGCACTGGAGTCTGTTTGAGCCAGGAAGCGTGTACGTCCCACACGCGGGGGTGAGTTTTGTCCTCTGGGCCATCAGACTGGTGTTGTGCAGAATGGATGCCGTGTGGCCTTGCTGAGCTCCTCCTTTCCTTTCTTGGCCACATACCAGTTCACGGTCTCGGTAAGCCACAGTGGTTCACCTGTTTGCCTGCCATGTGCCCCGGTTGCTCTCTGGCTGCTGTGAGCACCTGTGCCAGGCTCACGGGGCTGAACACCTGAGAGGGAGTGGCCCGCGTGGCCGACCTTGTGCAGCTGCCTTTCCAGGAGGCTGCCACACTGTCTCCAGGGCTGTCCCCATCTTCTGTCACCATCTCCAGTCACTCCACACCCTAGCCTCACTGGGTACCCAAGATGTCAGCCGTTGTAAAGAGAGTAGGGTGGCACAGCAGCTTGGGAGGCTGAGGCAGGAGGATCTCCAGCTCAAAGCCAGCCTCCATAACTTAGGAAGGCCCTAAGCACCTCATGGAGACTCTGTCTCCAAATAAAATATAAACAAGGGGTGGGGATGTGACTTCGTGGTTAGGTGTCCCTGGGTTCAATCCCCTGTACAGAAAGAGAGAGAGAGAGAGAGAGAGAGAGAGAGAGAGAGAGGAGGAGGAGGAGGTGGAAAGGGTGGTGTCTCAGTGTGGTCTTAGTTTGTTTTCCTAAAGACTAGTGACATCTGGATGATTTGGTGACACGTCCTTCAAATCTTGCCACTTGGAGCCCGAGGTGGTGCCCCATGCCTGCAGTCCTGGCTGTTTGGAAGCCCGGGCAGGAGGACCCCTTGAGTTCAGGGTTCCAGATGAGCCTGGGCAATGTGGTGAGACCCCAAACCAGAGAGTGGCAGACCTGCACGGGCCCTCTGCCATCTGCTTGTTGAGTCTCGGGGTCATCTACAGATTGGGGTAGAGCTTATTTGTCAGGATTCTGGTTTCCGGATACTTCCTCCCAGGCTTGTCCTCTCCTTTCAGGGGGTCCTTTGAAGAGCAGGGGTTTTATTTTTTTCTGAGATGGGGTCAGACTCCTGGGCCTCAGCCAGGGTGTCCTCCGGCCTCAGCCTCCCCGTTCTGACCCCGGGTCATCCTGCCCAGCACAGCTTTTAATTTTTGTCAACACTTTCCTCTTTCACTTATGTTTTTTTGTTTCTTTTGATTTTTAATTGTTAGAAAATTGAAAGGATATATCCAGACAGTTGAATATTACTCGTGGATAAAAGGAAATGAATGATCAC